CAGTCACCACCACCACCTGCACAGCCCATCTTCCCGCACACTGCCACAGCCTGGCCCCTCCAGGCCAGCCCCCAACTTGGCCCCCAGCCCCCACCTCGATGTAGATGTAGTGCTGGCTGCTCTGGATGAGGCTCAGGTAGGCTCTGTAAATGGAACACTCATAGGTCCCAGCCGACCAGCGATCCACGGAGCGCAGCACCTGGAGACGGGGGGCGGGGTGTGAGGGGAACCAGAGCTCCCTGCCGGCCCACCCCCTGCAGCCATCCTCTAACCTTACCCTGCCCATCCTCACACCTCCCTCTGTACCCAGCACCGGACCCCTGCTGGGAGCCCAGACCTCCATGCCCCTCCTCTCCACCAGGTGCTTTATGCCCTGGGCCCAAAAGGTGACCTACTCCCTGGACCCATAGGACGATTCGCCCCCCCACCCCTGTATACACCCTGAGCTCATTGGATGACTTCCCCACACTGGGCCCACAGGGCAATTCACTCACACATACTCCCTGGAGGTATGTCTACACTACCCTCCTAGTTCGAACTAGGAGGGTAATGTATGCATACCGCACTTGCTAATGAAGCCCGGGATTTGAATTTCCCGGGCTTCATTAGCATAAGCGGGGAGCCGCCATTTTTAAATCCCCGCTGCTTCGAACCCCGTGTAGCCGCGCTACACGGGGGTCGAAGCAGCGGGGATTTAAAAATGGCGGCTCCCCGCTTATGCTAATGAAGCCCGGGAAATTCAAATCCCGGGCTTCATTAGCAAGTGCGGTATGCATACATTACCCTCCTAGTTCGAACTAGGAGGGTAATGTATGCATACCGCACTTGCTAATGAAGCCCGGGATTTGAATTTCCCGGGCTTCATTAGCATAAGCGGGGAGCCGCCATTTTTAAATCCCCGCTGCTTCGACCCCCGTGTAGCGCGGCTACACGGGGCTCGAACTAGGTAGTTCGGACTAGGGTGCCTATTCCGAACTACCGGTACTCCTCGTTTCACGAGGAGTAACGGTAGTTCGGAATAGGACCCTAGTCCGAACTACCTAGTTCGAGCCCCGTGTAGCCGCGCTACACGGGGGTCGAAGCAGCGGGGATTTAAAAATGGCGGCTCCCCGCTTATGCTAATGAAGCCCGGGAAATTCAAATCCCGGGCTTCATTAGCAAGTGCGGTATGCATACATTACCCTCCTAGTTCGAACTAGGAGGGTAATGTATGCATACCGCACTTGCTAATGAAGCCCGGGATTTGAATTTCCCGGGCTTCATTAGCATAAGCGGGGAGCCGCCATTTTTAAATCCCCGCTGCTTCGACCCCCGTGTAGCGCGGCTACACGGGGCTCGAACTAGGTAGTTCGGACTAGGGTGCCTATTCCGAACTACCGGTACTCCTCGTTTCACGAGGAGTAACGGTAGTTCGGAATAGGACCCTAGTCCGAACTACCTAGTTCGAGCCCCGTGTAGCCGCGCTACACGGGGGTCGAAGCAGCGGGGATTTAAAAATGGCGGCTCCCCGCTTATGCTAATGAAGCCCGGGAAATTCAAATCCCGGGCTTCATTAGCAAGTGCGGTATGCATACATTACCCCGCTAGTTCGAACTAGCGGGGTAGTGTAGACATACCCTGGGCCCATAGGGTGACCCCCCCCTTGGGTCCACAGGGGGAGGCTCATTCTCCCTGTGCCCACCCAGCGGTGCACCTGCTGACCTGCACGTTGGTGAGCTGGGCGCTGGGGATGGTGACGGGCAGGTGGTGGGCTGTGCTGAGTGACTTAGGCAGCAGGTACGGGTACTCTGGGCCCTTGTACTTGTTCTTCACTGTCTGCAACAGGATGGGCGGGGTCACACACACCTGTAGCCCAGAGCAGGTGCACAGGACCCCTCCCCTTTTTCAGCCCCTGCTGGGAAGTAGACTGAGCCCTTGCCCCGCCCGAGGCAGGCTCCCGGCAGCCCCAGACCTTCGTGAAGTTCCAGCGCTGGATGAAGTGGCGGGCGATGTCACGGGCAGCTCTGCTGTGCACTGCCACCCCCACGTCCCGCCAGGGCATTCGCGGCGTCCGGGACCTGTCGATGAAATCTGACACGGGGGAGGAGGGGTAGTCAGCAGGAGGGCAGGGGTTGGCTGCATGACCCTAGAGTCAGTGTCCACTCTCCAGCCCCTGGAACGATCCCTGGCCCTACTTGTTTGCCACCCTGAATTTAAGGGGCTTTTTGGGACAACGCTGGGCTGGGCCTGGGCCACTCAGCTGCAGGGCTGAGAGGGTCGGACCCAACTGGGGAAAGAGGGAGTTGTGCTGCTAAGGGGGGAGAGTCCGCTTGAGCCCCCTTGATGGAAGAGCACAGTTAAGGGGGATGTGCTGCTCTCAAGGGCACTGTGAAGGGGCTGCAGCTCTCATACACATGCCAGGGCAGAGGATATAGCCCCATGTCAGCCTCTAGACACTTGCTGGCTACCATGCACTCTCCTCAGGCTAGCCCATGGCTGGAGGGACCCACCCTTCCCTGGTCACCTTCAAAGGGCCGGTCGAGCTGCACCCAGTCCTTGCTGATGAGGTTGCTGTAGTCCTTGCCCAGCCAGAGTTGCTGGTTGGTGGCCAAGTCGACAGGTGGCTCTTCCCCAGGGGGGAACCCGCTCTGAGGGAGACAGAGCCCAGTGAGGGGAATGGGTCACGGTCAGGGGCAGGGTCCAGAGATGGATTCAGGGTGTTCGAAGCAGTTCTCAACTGGGGTGCAATAGGACTCCAGTGCGCAATGACCCCTTCTCCCCACAGCTGCCCCCAGGGCCAGGGCTTGGGGGGATACAGGGACAGAAGAGGGTTGGCTGGGGGGGACCTGGGCAGGTGCCTCCCCAGCACTGGAGAGGACTGAGTGGTGGGTTCTGACCTTGGCATGGGGGGACAGGTCAGTGAGCCGATAGTGGTGGTCATCCCAGCGCCCATAGGCCAGATCCAGCCCTCCTAGAAAGGCCACACTCTGGTCTACCACAACCAGCTTCTCATGGTGGGCCCACAGGAACACAATAGATGAGACGTGGTCAGGGTGGCGCATCACCTAGTGGGGGGGGGG